TAGTTATACAGTATTAATATACTAATACGGTTTACACGAAGACAAAAATTACATCATAGTCTGAAAATAATATAAATCATTGCAATGTATCATATTCATCTCAACTCTTCAGGATTTGAAGATGGTATAAAATATTACAAGAAGCCGTCGAGTGATTCTTGTATTTATGAAAATGTGTTATGAATTTATAGTAAAATACTTATTTGTAAGAAATAATTCATTATATAAAACATTAAGTTAATTCTGCAAATACAATTTCATAGTTCAATGTTTTAAAGTCTGTTTTTATTTCATTTTTTGCTCGGTCTCATTATAAAAACTGCTTAAAAAACACCCAAGAATCAGTTTTGATAACACAATTATACTTTTTTTTTTTAAATCAGATGTCAAGTTTAGAGATCGTTTCTGAGCTAAATATCTTTAACGACCACATAAGATATAAATTTCTGACATAAGATTTACAGTACTATAAAAAAGTATGGGTAATTGAAACAGGTAGACACTGTTAAATGTATTAAATATTCTTGTTTCATATATTTATTTTTAACGAATTTGGTATTTTCAGTTCCTCATTTCTTGAGAGTAAAGTTGATACAATTTTGTCACTACTCTCTGTTGAGTACATCCTCTTCTGTCAAACCATATTTTTCCATGTTTCTTTTCATTCCCTCTTCCTCTCTTTCACTCGATTCCCCATTCCATTCGTGCTTGTCTTATATGTCCACATCATTCGAGCTGCCTTTATTCTTAATTTCTCGTAAAATCGTCATTTCTTTCATATCCAAAAGATCCAGAACTATATGTACTAAATTACTCTTTGCATATTATGGCGTGGAATCGGTACAATTCGCTAGCGTAATTTTAATTTTAAAGTGACTTTGAAAATGACGTGTCAGTGTGTTTTGTAAAAAGCGACTTCTCTCCAATTTCACGCTCATAAAATAGTATATATAAATAAAACCTAGTAGTGGCTTGTACCTACACATCATACTTTTCCTTTAATCCGATCCCAACCGGAGATAGTTGATCTTAGGAATTATATTGTCTAGTTTTCCATTGTCTATTTTCTGAGAAAAGTTTTTTTTTTTCATTATTACTATTAATATTTCCTTTTACGGATATAAAAATCATATTTTACAATATTAACAAATTTAGTAGTTTTTAGATTTTAGTGTGGTTCCGGGACATTTCCGGAGCCTCACACAATTTACAGGTAATCCTGTACTTAGAGGCTCATTAATTCTGCAATTTATTTAATCGTCTGTTGGTGAAATAGAGGTTAATAAAACATCGTGTTCAATCAGTTTTTTTTTTATCAAGCAGCATTCAAAATGAGCAGAACTAATCGGTATTACACAGGACCGTGGAGCCTACTGGCAGGACCTACTACACCCAATAATCATTAATAAAGAATACATTCTAATATTTCATCTGTTTAAAAAAAAGCATAGAAAACTTGGTAAGAGGCTCACTTTACTCCGGACCCATGACCTGTAGATACCATCTACTATTTTAACATAAGCCAAGCAATTGAAACGGGCTTCTTGATGTTATTTTTTTATAAAGTTATCAAACAGGCCTTTATCTATCATGAATCTTATTATGAATATTTCACATTTATAATAAGATTCGTGATGAAATGCTATATATACATTTCATATTGAATGTCAAAGTCTCTTTTTATCTTCCTCTAATATTGTCCAAGCAATGTTTAATAATAAAATTGAATTATAAAAACGGTAAACAAATACAGGAAAATTAATTTATTGACAATTTATAACAAATATTTTTTGGAATAGTAAAGTGAATATATCAATTTATGTGAATTGATTACATTCATGCAATACATTTTACAATTTTATAATGAATTCACTTTAGAAAATAGTTTTGTACCTTCATAGGCAAACCTCAGTGCAATTACAAAACACAAGATTTAACTGCGGATACAAAATATAATTCAAAAAATAAATTATCCTCTGTCAAATTTCTATTATTGGAATTTATCAGAAATTTAAATGGTAAATATTAACACTTAAATTCCAATTTATTAATATATGGAATAATCTCAAAAGTCTTATAACCATTAAAAAGACTAAATTGCCATCTTACTTAAATACTTAAATAATATGTTTTTAAAATTATATATCCTCATTCAAGTTCTAAACTCAGTTTACAATTCATATTCACAACTGTACCTGTAACACAGAACTTGGTTAACCAACTTTTGAGCCACCCTATACTTTGGAATACTGAAAGAAGGATAAAATTTTAATAAATTTTGTTCCTTTCCATTAATTTTAAGGATTTTAATTAATTTTAGAATCCTTAAAAACTGGTTTGAGTATGGAACTCTGAAATTAAAGCCAGAATATTGAAATTTTCTTTTTAAAATTTGCCTATACTTATAAAATTTCTCTAATCTATTTGATTTTTTTCTTAATTCCATAGCAAAATGCCAATTGAGAAAATCAAACAATTTGAAAATTTATCAAAACAACTATGTATACAAAAATTTTATTTTGGCAACAATTATTATTATATTAAATAATAAAATTTTAATATGAGTTATTATAATAGTAACAGAAAATAATACATTTTACAAATTAATAAATAATGCCTATCATCTGTTTGAAAATCATTATTCCACAAAGAAATTTCTGAAAATTAATCAAATATATGTTCTTCCAAAAAGAATTCTACCATTTTAAATTATTGTAAATATGTTAATTGTTAACTGAGAACATTGTAATATGCAATACATTGGAAAATTACAATGTATTGCATATTGCATTGTACATTACATTACAAACATTGGAAAATTGTCTAAGTTTCACATCTGCCCATTATAATTTATCAATGTGTACACCTTGTGGCACACATCCAACAGATACTTAATATCTTTCTACAATTGCTATAGCATATCTGTTGTCACTTCTCCCACAGCAGCCACAATTCTACAGCTCCTAGTTACATTGATGAGTGATTCTGACTGCAAACTGTCAAACACAAAACACCTTTTCTATTGTGGACTGGACTCGCCATTTTTGTTTATGGCACTTCCTAGAGGCAGTAAACATGTTTTAATGTAGATGGGAGATGAAACTCAGGCAGTTACTCTATTGATTGGTTTACTTCACATACTTCTCAGGTAATAATTAACATAATCACAGAAATTTAACATGATAGCATTCTTTTTTGGAAGACCCTGTATTATAAACTTACATTTAAGTTTAATTCTCAAGTTTTTGACAAAGTAAGTAAAGATTTTTATAAATTTCAAAGTAATTGGGATACATTATGCAAATCAGCATCAAAAGTAAATTATTGCGAAGTTTCCATTATTACTAAATATATGATAATAGAAGTGGAAAAATCAAATTAGTCGTATAGACAAATTCTTGTCTTTGCAGGAACAACTGTTCCTTTGCTCCTGCAAAAATTCTAATTGTATCAAAACACTTTTGACAATTTATTTGTCAATATGAGACACTAGCATCTCTGATCAATGTTGTCATTTTCAATTTTTCATAATGATATCAGTTGGATGATACACAGCAAAACCCAATATATCTGGATTACATCAGGAATTTATGGAGACCCTGGATCCATAAATACCCGAGGCTCCAGTCCAAATTTGGAGCTGAATTATTCATATTGACAAATAAATGCTTTTGCTTATTGCTGTTGAGTCACAGGGATTCTAACAAAGATGTTAACTATCAAAACTGTTTTAACTGACATTTAATTTGTTATAAGTATAAACATGAAACTGTGTTTTTATATTGAAGTATTTTTTAAATTTATGTATAGAATTTAAGAACTCATATGATTATCACAATCTTTAAAGAGGGTTATTATATAGAAAATCCTGTAGCGAACAGAGAATTACTGTATTCTACAGCATATAAGATGCACTTCTATTACAGCAAAAAATATTTGGGGAGAAGTATTTAGTGCATTTAAGCTATTCTGTATCTTTGGCAGTTGGCCCCATTTTCCTTTTTTACTATATTCTGGTTAAAAAGTAATAATAATATTTTCAATTAAACAATAAGATTTTAATTCAAGAGTTGGGCTAGATAGGGTTACTTGTAACCTACTGAATGCTATTTAGGAAATTCATTAGCCTATTGGAGATCACAATCTCATATATAAGACTCAGGGTGACTTTTTCAGCCTTTTTTTGGAAAAAGTTGCATCTTATATGCCATGAAATACAATATTTTATTTCTTATCTATGATCTTATATTTAGTAATCAAATGCAAACTTCAATATATGTAAACATACACATTTGATGCTTTATGAGTATTATAAATATTTCTGCATGATCTAAAATCTGTTAACTACATCACATAATATTCTGCAATAATGATCTTCTGCAGCTTGATCTTGTATTTTCACAGCTTCAGATTTTTACAAGGGGTTCTTTGTGTTATCATAAATACATCAAATGAGCATTATGGATATCCAAATTTAATGAAAATATATGGTGAAGTTAAAAGGTTACTATAAACATGTTGCAAAATATTCTGCATTGTTGTTAACAACCTCAATTATGTAGAAATACTGGCAATATTCATATACAGTAATATCAAATGTTTATATACTAATAAATATACTTTTGATGTTATTACATAATATATCCCTTTTTTGATTCCTAAAATGTAAATGATAACTTTAAAAACACTCTCTACAACATTACAGAAATTTGAAAAATTATATTGAATCTTCAAAGCATCGTTCTTTATGGTCTTTAATTTAATATCTATGACCAGAATAACTTTTTAAAGGAGAAAAAAAGTGACTAGATATGAAATCACAAAGTTTACATATTTATAAAGTAGCCAATTTAAATCATTTAATTTGGCAATTTAAAAAAGATGAGAATATTATAAAACTAATAAGCTTAATTATTTTTTCATCATTCAGTTAAAAAATTCTGTTTACAATTTAATCAAAAATATCTGATAGGAACCAATATTATATTTATAAACTCTCAGAAATATGTTACTGTAACAAATTTATGTTCAAATTATTTCATGTTACAAACTACTATTAATTAATAAATTAATAAGCAAAGACCATAAAGAGAATATAATGATGATGTATGTATTGATACTAATGTAAAGGCAATATATATTAAAATTTAAGAAAAATTATGTTAATTAAATCAGAAGAAAAGTTCATTAAAAATTTAATGCTGTTAACTTAGATAATGATTAAACAATAAGTGTTATAATAATATATATATGTATTTTTTATATATGAGAGAGATTTTGTTTTCTTCTGAATGAAATGGATAATGAATACATTCAAACTATAATTCACATAATACTTAATTATAAATTTTTCTGAAATTATAGGTGAAATATTTAAAATGGATAGACTGGTACTGGAATTATAAATTAACACCAAGAGAAAAATGGTGCTTTGTCTTGGAATTTCTGTGTAAAACTGTCATTAATAGCTTTAACTCTTCCCTTTTTGCTTCTTTCGACAATTACAGCTGGCATTTGAACTAACTGAACAGGGGACTTTCCATCTTTAAGTGCTTGAGAAAGATTTAATATCTAAAAGTCAAAGAAATAAAATCTTAAATTATCTAAAGTACTTTATTTTTCAAACAGAAATAACAACAAAAACACTTACTTGACCCCTGACTACTGATGCTTGACGCTCAAAAATTTGACGATCAAATCCTCGATCACTCTGTAATTTATCATAAAATTCCAAAATTATATTAAAACATTACCTTAAAATACATTTACATAATTTATAATAAAAAGATTATAATCACTAATGTGAAGACCATATTGTCATCTAAAGAACAAATCAAAATCTGCAGGGAAGAGTAAAAAGTATTTGGAATACTCTAGAAGTAAAGATCAATCTGGAGCAGAAATTAAAGACTGAAAGTTATAAATTTCTGTAATAGTTGGTATCATGTCTAAATATCAATGCAATAAAGACAGATTTTTAAAGAAACAAAACAGTTTTTAATTTGAGAAATGTTTTCTGGTCCACTAAAATGCTCAGCTTCAGCTTCAAGCTTTAAAAACAAAATAAGAATCAAATGTAAGAATCATGTGACATTTCTTAACGTTTTCAAAGTTTAAAGTTCCTACAAGAAGTTAACCAATCATAGAACTAATTGCTGATATTTAAATAAATTTAAAATGTCTTAAGATAAATAAGATTGATGATAGTCCCTTTTGAAAAATAAATAAGATGTACTTAACAGAATTTATTGAAATTTGAAGTGTAAGTTAAAAAGCTCAAAGACTGAAAATGCTCATTGGGCAAAAATCAACCACAATGCATTCTGACTTCAGATCCAGCAACAATTTCAATATTCAATAAGACCACAAAGAGAAATTTGTGTTGAGATTCTTTTAATAATCAACCAAAACATGATTTGGCAATGAGAAAATGCCATAACATGTTGTGGATGTAATGCAGCCATGATGCAATGTGATAAATATCTGTGCAAAAATAAGTAACAAATTACTTATGTATTTAAAATAAATAAAAAAGAAATGTATTTCTAAGTGATGTAATAAAATAATTGATATTATAAAGTAAATAAATCAAATTATAATCTATATTGAGAATTAAACCATAAAAGGAAGAGCAAGAGTTGAGAGAGAATGTGCTAAATCTGGTCAAGGAAAAAAAAAATAATTCAACATTTTCTGAAGTTGTTATTGGAAGTAATATTGTATTGTAATCAAAGTCCCTGGCACTGACAGAGGATGTGCAACTCCCAGAAATGTCTTAGCTGTTGTTGGCAGAATTGACTCATCAGGTCTTTATCAATTAGGTTAAAAAAAAAAAAAAGGACACCTTGACCCATTTTATGCTTGCAACGAATTTATTGTTGCTGACAGCAACTTCATTGAACCGCAAGACGTATCCTCAACTTTACTAATTTTCTTTCAGTTTCTATATTGTCATCTGGAAAGCAAGCATAGTACAGTCGACCCCCCCTATAACATGGTAGATACATTCTGGTTTTTATGAAATTCATTTTCTACGAGTCCTTAAATACATGAGCCAAACACAGCCCGGCACGTATGCAGTTTACGGACTACAGCTGTTTAAAAAGTTTTCTTCCATAAAATTAATCAATTCTAGACTAATTCGACTCAGCATTTCCAAAATATGTATAATTTTTTGGGAATAATCCATATAAACTATGCTATACACAAAAAATTGTAGGATTACTTACTGAGCGTGCACCATTCGACAACGCCATTGCTTAAGCTTGTTTTCGTCGTGGAGCAGTGCATTGAATGACGCTCGCGTACTTCCTGATAAATTATTTTTCTGCGAAAACTTTGCTGCACTTTGGAAACATCATTAATATAAATATAATTTTTATGGCTGTTAAATAATAAATGGTTTTTAGTAGGTCCGCTGCTCGTTTAAACTCAACGGTTTGTGCAATATCCGCTATTGGTCTAGATTCGACCATTTTTTCACCGTCATATAGGAATCTGAACTATATGAACTCGTTTTATAGGGGGTCTACTGTATTATAAGCTGTCAATGCAAAAGATACTACATTGAGAAAAAGTGTATATGTCTCACCAAAAACAAAGTGCAATTCCAAATATCAAAACAGTTGTTCTTACAAAAATAAATAATTTATGCATAACTAGTTGCAAGGATCCGCTTCGCTGGATTTTTATTTGTTCGTACATTTGTATGTAATATAGCTTTTTATATATATATAAAAGACTGTTTTTCTAAGTAATCTAGAATCTAGCTGCAAGGACCCGCTTCGTTGGGTTTTTATTTGTGGGAAAAAAGTAACGATAGTGAAGATTAAGATAATTACATTATAGCCAATCTTACCCGTTTTCACAAAATGCAAGAATTAGGTCTCACGTTTCCAGAGAATTTTTACATGAGCATAAAAATATGTTCGATTTCCCGCAAAAGCGCAAAAAACCGCCTGTAAATCTTGCATGCCGCTTTATATTAACACTTCCTGGTCCCGATTCTATTTCTGAACGTCTCCTGTTCACGTCCAGTCAAACAAACTATTTTCAACGTTTCTGGAACGTTTACGATCGTTCTATAATCGAACCAATATTCGAATTTTATGTTTGAATTTAATTTGAACAAATTCGAACAATATTCGAATTAAATTCGAACAAAACATTCGAAATAGAAAGCCACTTTCAACCACTTTCAAGCCCATATCTCCCGCACCCTTATAGCTATCGAAACGCAACCCCCCTGGTGCATGAATGGAGACTTGGGGCTACTACCACATACAAACACCATTCACGTGCGATGTTTAGTTTTGGCGGAAAAGTGAAATATAGAGACATACATGTCCATTTTTATATATATATATATAGATTTCCACCAAAGGACCAATTCTGAACAATATTTACTATTAGAAAAATGCTCATCAGTAAAAGTTTCTATCACAAAATGTTGTATGATAAAAAAACCATAAAATAATATATAAAACTCTTCATTTTCTTTTATTATTAACAGTCAAGAAGACAATTTGCTGTCAACTGTTTTGCTTATGAATCCTTGATATTTACATATGATACCTAAAATTTCTTTGCAGATGCAAAGTCAAGTAAAGGAATTTATTTTTCAGTCACTTTGCCAATTGATTGCAAATTTATTTTCAATAATGACACTCCCACAAATAGGCCAATTCCAAACAAATTTTTATATTAATATTAGTTTTAAAAAATGATAAATAGAAGTTTCTATCTTAGAAATTTAAAGCTTAGACATAAGATTAATGAGGCTAACTGTTTATTTTCAGTATAATTGGGCTGCAATTTGAAAACATTGCAACATAAATTTTCACATTGTTCATCTGTCTATCTGTCCTTCCTAAATCTTGAGAATGGAGTTAGAAAAAAGTCAAAACCAGATATGGAAAGCTTAGAGGCAGGAGGCTCCAATCAACTATATACAAACTTCCAGTTTGCACCAGAAGTCATGTTATTTCAATTCAAAAATTTTCCCCCAAACAGACTTAGCAATAGAATTTTGCTGGTCATCTATCTAACAGGGAAAGTATAATATATAGAAGCAAACACTACTAAAAAATTGAGAACATTATGATGAAAAATTGTAGTGTGACATTGTGACAAATGTCACAATAAATAATTGCTCATTCTCAATGTAGATTATTATTTAGAATAAAATGAAATTCTACAGAAATTTGTTATTTATATTTGCACAGATATTTTTATCATAATTTGTTGTAGCTGCATTAATAAATGCCACAATGCATTGTGCATATTTCTGAAAGTGCCATGATGTAAAATTCACATTGTGGCTGGATCTGAGAAATCAGACAATGTTGATCAATTTTTTTTTGCTCAATAAGTGTTTTTGATCTTTAAACCTAACATATATATCCATATAATCATAGGGCTAAAAAAACACAATAAAATATAATAAGAAGTCTTTATTAATAGTAAAAATATCGTCAGCTGTTGTGTGTGTGAATTCCTTATAACTCCTGAAATTTTTGTCCAATCAAGATGAAATTTTGGTTATATTTGTTTGAAGTTCTGATGGAAAGTATATGCTATTTATTTTGCAGAAATATTAGCTATAGAATAAATGTTTTATCAATTTTGGATCAGTGATTGCACTTATGTTGCAGTGACATCAGTGACCTCATTTAGTTTATGTTTGACAATGGAATTTCCCTTAAGTTGCATCTTAAAATATTTTGGCAAATGGCATTTTTTAAACTTACTCCAGTAAATTTATAATTTAAACTTAAAAAAAAAAATAGTTGCACTGTGTCACTTCTACAACAATTAAAAAAAATTTTTTTTTTATAGTGATCATGTGACATTCTATTATCCATTCAAAAGTAATGATCTACCGAGCCTGTTATTTAAAATGTATTATTGTGCATTAATTATGCTTTGACGGTCAGTATAGACTACTTTGTAGAAACATTTAGCTACTCTTCTTGAACTTCTTGAAATCTATACTTCCACACAGAAAGTAGTCTGTCATGCTTGGCAGGGAAATTTCTGGTTTTGATATAACATGATAATGATATATGAAAGAAGGCACTGGAAAGGAATATGAAACCAAGTGAGATGAAGATGTTTTAAGATAGTGTTCAGATTAAGGTATCTTTCCTTGAACACTTCACAGTATCATTTTACTTATTCATTCAAATTTGATTTAAAACTAGTGATAATTAAAAATAATCACATTTAGACTTATGAGTAAAAGAAAAAATTTTTTGTAGTGAAAGTGTCTGTGCCAAAATTAAAGAGAGAAACAAGTATAAATTTCAAAATATGTCATTATTTTCTTTGTTCTTCTGGAATATTATCAATACTATGTTTTTAAACATAATAATATTCCAGAAGTACAAAGAAAAATCATAACATAATATAAATGATTTGAAGTTAAATGATAAAAGGTGACAGAAACAAGTAATTTTATTGTTAAACAATACTTGTTATTGTTTAAAACCTATAAATTATAGTAAAATAAAAGTAGTGTATTCACTACAGGTTCATGTTGAATAAGGCAGAACTTCAGTTAATTAACTGACCTTGTTTGTATTTCTCTGAAAAGGTTTCTCATTCTCTAAATAGTTTGTTCTAATGTGTAATGAAGACACACTTATACACTTATTTGTGTATAAGTGAATCTTAATTTTCCATTTTATTCAAGTGAAATTATGTTCTTCATACCCAAAAAAATCTTCTGTTCTGTGTTAGACATGTTTCTGGCTTGTAGCAAATTTAACAGAAAAATTGCTCCATTCCAGAGTTTTTCCTGTTATGCAGGTTTCTATTTTATGCATGTTTTACTCTATTAGGTAGATTAAAAAAGTAAAATATGTATAGGACATCAAAAGTAGCTGTCTTCACACTCATAAAACATTTTGACAAAGAAATAATTCATTTTAATATCAAATATATGAGGAAAAAAATACTTAATTTTTGAAACCAATTTAGAATCTAAATGATTATAACTTTTTGAATAAAAAAGTTCTTTCCAACTTATCTAGAAGCAACATCAATATGTGTGTTGGTTGACTGTCACATAGTTTGGGTGACTGCAAATATGCATTTAATGTTATACTGTGTTATATTTAATTCAATTTGTTTATTTTCCTGTTTTAATTTATTTTGGTTTTACTTTATTTTATTAATTTTTGAATAATTATAACTTTCCTTGTAACTTTAAAATTTGAAAAAGTTCCAATGCAAAACTGTTCTTTTTTTAATGTATTTGTTCTAACACACTCAATGATTTTCATTGCTAATGATATTCTTGTAAAAGAACAAAAATGTTTCTAAATAAAAAATTTAATTTGGTTTCCAGAAGTTAGCATTTTTCTCATCTATTTAAATATGGTGCAAATTTCAAGTGTTATTTTTATTAATTTTAATATCATACCATCTAATATATCATGTAAACATAAAGCTAATGTAACAAAAATATGCAAAATGACAGATTTATACTGATGACAGCAGTTAAAGTTGGAACCCATACTGTACATGCAAACTATCACGACAAAGATTTTGATCAAGCCCTTTCTTTGCTAATTCCGTTGATGGTCTACTGTTTCTGATGACTTTCTGATGTTCTAAGATGCGAGAATATAACATTCTGGCTGTGACCCCAATGTAGTTAGTTTCTTCTCCTGACAGAGCATGTAGACCATCAACGGAATTAGCAAAAAAAGTTCTTGATCAAAATTATAAGCCACTCTCGGCCCAAACAAAATTACTCACATGTCAAAGATTCATTTTATAGATGATTAAATTATAAAAATTAAAATTATTAACCAAATACATCATACCTTAAACAATTCATACAGATCATCACATAAATCTTCCACAAAATTCATATCTGAAAGCTGTGGTAAAACCAAATCTCTTGTTTCACTAGAAAATGGAATTTTGGCATATGGAAGCCATGCCCAATGATATGGATCTGAAAATAAATTATCATCAGATTAAAAATAAAACTGAAATAAAAATTATAAAAATTTATGCTATTTATGTTTAAATTTTATTGTCATAAATATTAAAAATTTATTACTCATTCAATGAATCTATTGAATAGAATTAATATACAATTTCAAAGAAAAAACTTTTTAAATTGTATTTCAGGAATGTGAATATTAGATACTAATTACGGGTTTCATCTCATTAGGAATTAATTAGAAAAATGGATATTTGTTAGTAAATAATGCTAATTTTTGCTACTTCTTGGAATTTAATAAAACAGAAATGGAAAATTTTAGCAAAATTTTATATTGCATGTGTATATTGTGACAACCTACTCAAATTTGTGCATTTGCAAAACAACCTGTACATACAGTGTCTTTCAAAAAGAATGTTACTAATTTAAATTATTGTAATTATTATCTGAGAACGACAGTTGATCTTAACAGAGCTGCAGACGATATCCACAGGAGCAAAAAAGTCAAAGGAACCATACCTCTACATGTGACCAGATAGAACAGTAATCTTTTGATGTTGAAGGGTGCCCTGACTGTGTTTTAAGTATACATTTTATTTCTGCACGTTTCCATGTTTTGGGGAAATATTGCAGTTCTACACATTTATTGTAGATAACAACCATAGATGATGGTATCGCCCTAAATACCTGCTTAGTTTTGTTGCCTGTTATGCCATCTGGGCCTGAGACCTTTCTCCAGTTAATTTCCTGGAAAAGCTTAGCTATCTCACTAGGACTGAAGTTAGTGTCCAATTCTGTCTTCAGAGCTGGTGGGCACTTTTCCCTCATGGTTGCACAATAGTGATTGTCTGTTTCTGTCTGGTCTGTAGGAAAGAGTAGATAATCAAAAGTCTCTGTAATTGTCTTTGTAAAGTTTCCGTCCCATTTTCTTACTGTGGTTGACTTTTACCTATATATTTTTAAATTGTTACTTAAAGTTTTAAAATTATTATGAGATGGTGAAAAGGCAATTTTGACTTTATGTAACTTTAATTTGAAGGTAAATGACTTATTTTTCTTGTTTTAAGAATTATTATTTTAATAACTAAAAATGACATTTTGTAAAATGGATGTTGTATGCAAAATAAATAATCGCAAAGCTTTATTGCTTAAGTCTAGTTTCCTTTTCTTGTATTTTTTTTTCTTTTGTTGTTGTTTTTTTTTAGTTTTAAATTGAATTTTTTAATAAAGTTTAACATGTAAATAGCTCTTTTTTCAAGTGAAACTTATACAATTTCATCTACAAGTATGGTAATTTGTATTTTTCTACGATATCGAGCGTGATTTATGTCTGTCCTGTCTTTGTTTTTTAATAACAACAACTTTACATTTCTGTATAATATAATATCATATCATTTATAATAAAAAAATAATAGTATAAATGCATTAGATACGCACGCTTTTACAGGAACAATTTCAATATAATAACAGACGGCTAAACCTATTATTTTTGACTTAAAAAACCTAAAAGAAGGATAAAAATAATTTGCAAACATATTTATTATTATGTCGACTGGCAAAATCACCTAAACTTCGAGCTAAAATCTCGAATTACCACATATCAGCCTGGAACTATTACGTAGGGGATAGAANCAGACTGTAAATGTTTTAATTAAAATGTCTTTCATCAAATATGAATATAAAAATTTAAGTGGTGCTAAGTTTTATCCATTATTACTGAACCAAATGAAATATCTCATTTAATCAATTTTTTCTAATAATTATTATGATTAATACAATATGAATATTTCTTAGAAATAAGAATGAAAATTTATATATAAGTCTGAACTTACATGCTCTCCATGAATCTGGATGCTTAAAAGGAAATGCAAGACCATTATCAATAGCTGCTATTTTAATTTCTGGTGGTTTTGATGGACTCCAACTCTGAAAAGGTTTAAAATATACACTTAACTCATATTTCAATTATATCACATATCTTTAGCTGTTATACCAGCTAAGGATAACAGATTTGACATTCTCTAGATTCACATCTAAAATACTACAATATAGAATTAAAGAACACAAGTATGACATCTCTAGAAAGAAATTAACCATGATATTATCGGCCTTTGCTATGTATGAGAGCAACTCAGTACAGTGGAATGGTACTAAGATCATTAGACAGGTCTGCAATAAAAGGGAAGCCAAATGCACCAAGATATTTGAAATATACAAAGCCTCACCTATAGAAAATATGCAGCCAGCATTTCTATTGCATGGAAGTTCACAATTAAGATATAAACATCTACCGAACCCTATGCTTAGCAAACAGACACCCACAATTGCCGTAAATAACCAGGCTATAATTTGGAAATATTAATTATGAGTCACAAATAAATTTGGCACTAGAGGGAGGCATCAGGCCTTTTATTAATAAGAGATGGCACCTAACGCCTCTCTCTGGTGCCAAATTTATTTGTAATTCATAATTAATATTTCCAAATTATAGCCAGATTATTTATGGCAATCATGGGTGTCTATCTGTATGCAATTAAAGGGAAATGCAATAAAAATGGACTTATAAAGTGGTGAAGTAGCAGACTAACAGTGATCACACCTATAGAAATATCCTGCATCATATTTTATTACATACTAGTAGATGAGTTCGGCACTGCTCAGGAAAAAAGTATTGATAGTGAAGATTAAGATTATTAGATTATAGACAATCTTACCCGTTTTATTGCGTGCAAGAATGTCCCTTCTATTCTGAGACTAATTAGAAAATTTGTGGACATCTGCTTACCACACTGGGATAACGATAATTAAGACTCACTGCAACCACTAACCAGTGCATAGTACCACTAAGTGATGAATAAATGTTTTTGTAACTTTTTCTGGGTTCTTCTTCAGGTTTACTAAATTCAAAAAATAAGCTGATTCTTCCAGAATCATTCATAAATATAAATTCAAACATAAAATCGAACATTAAGACGAAGAGTTTGAATAAAGCAAACTTATGCATATGTGCTCTTCATGTCAACTTTATATATAAAATGCTTGTATACATGTGTGCCACATATCATAGGATATATGTGCTATACCAGAAACCTTCGTGCTTTGCAGGAGTGTATTAAACAACTTTCCAAAGTTTCATGGCAATCGGATAAATGGTGTAGTAATGCATGAAGGACAGACAGACATACAGACAGACAGAGAGACATACATTCATTTTTATATATATAGATTTACTGGCAATATGTCTATGCCAATGGTAATATAATTCAACATCATACAAAAGTGTATTTACTTACAATGTAGACAACAAATTTTATATTCTATTTGGAAAGCCCTAAGAAGGATTATGAATGGACCCAAAAACATTTGATAAAAGGAAAGGATTCATGCTGGAGTGAAAAGTTAGTTGGTTGAAATAAATAATTTCTTAACAAGTTAACTTTAAATTATATGACTATCAAACAAGAATACAAATATTTAAGCTTTTAATAATTGCCACTAAATATAATTCTTAAGTTTGAATATAGACAGAAATAAGGTAATGAATGTTTTCAAATTGCATAACTATAAATTATCAAAAATATTTTAAATGAATAGAATTCCAACACCAACTAGGAGACTGGAATCTTATGTGTGGTAATCCCAATACGATTATGTGTTCATTTATAAGGTAACATCATGATGTAATGATAGTACAGGGTGTTTGGAAAGTTACCGCTCACTTTTCTAATCATATTTTTGCATTACTCAAAAGACATGTGGTCCCTATGCTCAGTAGATCTAAATCCACCAGACTTTTATCTGTGGGAAGCAGCAAAATCTGCAGTGTATCAAAATCATCTGCACATGCTGGATGTCTTGAAAGAAGTGATAACAGCATTCATTCAGTCTATTTCAAGCAAGCAACTGATAGTGGTGTTCAGAAACAAAAGGAGCCAAGCCTGTATTGATGCTAATGGGGTCACTTTCAACATTATTTATAATTGTCATTCATTTTTACCTCCTGCATGGTATATTGAAATATATCTGTTAATAAATATATAAGTATATAATGTCTTTTCAAGCACCCTGTATAATGGAATGTTCTCATGTATATTTATATAATTTGATTTGTTACTTTTTAGTTTTGTTTTATTTTTAATCATTCCTGTATCTTACTCTATTTATTTTATTTTTATGTACTTGAAAGTTACTTTACTTAATTTTTCAAAAACATCATTATTCTATTCACACATTCCATCATGGAATATACAGACCTGAAGAAGATCTTGATTTGTAGATTGAAAACATTAGTCAAAGTTTTTTGTTTCACATTAAGCTTCAGTGGAATTGATTAAGACTTTTCAATGAATGTTTATTTTAAATGAAATTATAATGTAAGCATTTCATAAATCACACACACATACAAACTCTCACTTGCTCTTTATGAAGCCTTCTTTATCAACAACAAAGCAACCAATTAATAAGCTTAATCTAATTTGCTTTGTAGGGGCATAATTACATATATTATGTGAAAATGAAAAAACTTTCATTAATCAAGCATTAAATAAAGACAGAGAAGATAAATGGAAAAAAGCAAAAATAATTATGCAGCTAACAAGAACATGTCTGCTAAGAACAGCTAAAGAAATATTAGCTATCATACTAACAGTATAAATTAACAAAACTGGATAGCTGAGTGCCAGAATTCCTTGAAATGTAGCCCAAAATAATTTGGAGTGCATTTTGAGGAATTCTGCTTTATACTTTATAAAACCTATCTTTACAAAACCTGTGAGGTTCTCACCAGACACATGTTTACCTGCAGCATATTCATAATATTCTTAATTAATGAAAATAGCATTCTGTATATGTTACCATATCCCATTTGCTTAATAAATAACATCAGTTAAATGGCATTTGGCATATGTACAGAAATATGTAAATCTTGGATAATTCAAAACTTGATACTTTGAAATCACAATTATTTTGTCTCTTGAATTTCAAAGTAATGAGATTTTTTTGTAGTTGCAAATTTGTCTCCTACAGTTCATTTCAATTGTGAATAAAAAGAAATTAATTGAAAATAACAGAATTTATTTTATTTTAAATAGTCTTCAACAATGAACATTATTATATTAAATTCAGCATATAGGATGACTTTAACTGTATAAAAAAATTTAGCTTTTTGTAATAAGTATCATTTATTTGTCATTTTTATTTTTAGAAAATAACAATATAAACATAAGTACTCTGTAAAAAATTATTAAATTTAAGATTATTTTCAAAATATTTACCTTATTTCCATTTTCTAAATCTGGTTTAACATATTTTATCAACCAATTGTCATTCCCTCTATCTATAATTATATGATTTCAACATATTTCATAATGAATTGGAAACATAAATGGTAAATAAACATGATTTTATTATTCGAGTTTTACCAGTATTTCTTATAATATAATCCAATACTACTAATCGTTCAAACTGTAACTGAAACTGCCTTTGTAAATTTTCTGATAATGGTTCTGATTCAAATTTCCTTAACCAAAAGTCTGCATCTTTGTAACCTTCAACGTATAGTTGAAAAGAACCAACCTAAATAAAGAAAATCGAAAATCAGTAAGCTTATATGATATAATATACCTGAATTGTATATATTTATATAACAAAATTCTTTTACTTACTTTTGGAGGCAGACCTATTCTATGAAAATGCCGACCAACTTTAGGAAATCTTTCTGAAACATTCTTTTTTGTTCTTGCCTTAGCTCTATCAATAGCAGAATAATTAAATGTCTCACTGGCAAGTCTCACTATCTAAAAAAAAAAAAAATAGACAAGATCCACTTATATAAACAAGAAAAAAAATTAAATATCATTATTTATATGTTAAAAAATTAAATTTTTATAGTTTACTTTAGTCTTTGGTACAATGTTGAGCTGCAATTTTTGATCAACCAAAGATGCTCCTGCTTCTGAAAGATAACCTTGATTAGGAACTAAGCAACTTCTTCCAAAACAGCACGGACAACATAATTTATGCATCCATTTGGTCCATTTAGGATTAAGACGGCCATATGGTTCTTCATCTTTGGGTTTAAAGACGCCAATAGTTTTCTAATAAATGAATTTTTGTTAAATATGTTAAATATCTGTTAAACTGTAAAATAAATACATTTCCTTATAATATTAATTTTTAAAATTAACTTAAAAAATTTGTTAGCTTTGAATTTAAGAAATTAATTAATTTGAAAGGAATCTTTAAAAATGTAAATCAGTAAAATAGAATGACTACACCAAATAACAATCCACATTATTTATTATGACATCACCACAATGCCAAGCTGCAATTTTTAATGTATTTATTTTAAAATATATGCTTTCCACCTCAAATTAGTAGTGGCTTGCCCCTGTACATCATACTTTCCTGCTAGCAACAGTCATGCTGGTTGGACTGCAATTTGAAAAAAAATTGTAGACCTATAAATTCCCACTGTCATCCATCAGTCTTTCCTTAATCTCAAGAACAGAATTAGATAGATGAAATCCGAGACCTGATATGTAAACCTTAGGGGCAGGAGGCCCCGAGTGACTATGTATGACCTTCCGGTTTGCACTAGAAGTCACATTATTTCAATTCAAAAGTTTCAGTAGTTAATATTTACTTGCATATAAGATGAGGCTTTCCTTCATTTTTCACTGCTTCAAAAACCTAGGTTGTCCTATACGTGTGAGCAAAAGATTCTTTGTGTTTTTGCACTAATTTCTTGAACTGTGGATAGTTCATGCTGCCATTATAGAAGGTGCTATCGAGGTCAAGATGAATGTTGCTTTCAAAGAGATGGTCTGAAAATAGCTTTGAGGAAAGAAATGACCAGTCGCTATTTCTGGCTCATCAAATACCAGTCTACAGTCTATTTATCATAAGTTGGCACCTATTGTAAACAAACTAACACACATCCCTCTTTGTTTATTGGCTTAAACCTATATCCACCAATTAGAAACTGCATCTCATTCATCAACAGAAAATAGGTCCTCATTATTTATAAAATTATTAATGAAATACTGATCACTTAATAATGATTATAAATGTAGTTATTTCATATTTGTTAAATTATTATTTTTAATGAATATTAGCACATTCTGAATCATTAGAAATAAACTTTTTCTGGTCATGCACATTATAATGTTTTGCTTTTGTTTTCTATTCATCATGTATTAAGACAAACATGGTTGCCTTAATACATGAATTTGATAATATTTCATTTGTGATTAAACAAAATGAAATTAGAATTGTATTAATAAATCTAATTTTCTTTATTTTGGTTTTTAAAGTCACACCTTGTCTTATATGCAAGATCATCTTATACATGAGTAAATATGATATATATATATATATTTGTAGTTATTTATGAAGAATCCAAAGACTAGATATGGAAACATTAGGGTCAGGAGACTCTGAGTGACTATATATGAACTTTCAGTTTGCACTGGAAGTCATGTTATTTCAATACAAAAGTTTTCCCCTGAAAGCAGTTAATAGATGATTGGCATGACTCTATTGTTAAAGGAAATGTATGATGTATAGGGGCAAGATACTACTAATTTGAGATGAAGAGCATATGTTTTAAATGAAATAAATTAAAAATATGATTAAAATTGCAGCACAGCATTGTGACAATGTCAAAAATAATCGCTCATACTATATATCATTCCATATTAATTTTTATGACTTATATTACATAATAATAATAATTGTGCAATTACACATAGGATCAAGCTGCTGTCACATCAACCAGTTCTCGGTCGATATTGTTAATTTATTGTCCCTTCTGCTCAATGTTGCTGTGATAATAGTTTTCCTAATACTTCCCCCTATTCCTCTTCAATTGAGCTGTGTGATTTGAGGACGTTCCTTTGATTTCATCCCCTTGATATTCATCTATCTAACTTCTTTCAGGGGGAAATTTTTGAATTGAAATAACACGACTTCTGATTTGCATTAGAAGTTCATACATAGTTAATTGGGGAGGCCCCAATTAACTATGTATGAACTTCTGCTCTAAGCTTTCCATATCTGGTCTCAACTTTCATCTGTCTAACTCCATTCTCAAGATTAAGGACGGACAGACAGACAGACAACAGTAGGAATTTATAGGTCTACAATTTTTTTAAATTGCAGCCCAATAAAAATTTTGAATTGACATTTCATGACTTCTGGTCTAGACTGGAAGTTAGTATATTGTTAATTGGAACCTCTGGGTCCTAAGGTTTCCATATCTGATCTCAATTTTCATCCATCTAACTGTGAGATTAATGACGGACAAAACGAAATGTAATTATAATGTATCTAAATATACTGCAATTACATTTCTGCTAACAGCTATTAAAATAAAAATGAAAAATATGGCTAGATAAGTATGGTAATAGTAGTTTTCAGTTGTTGAACATGCTCCACTCTGAAGGTACTAAGCAGGTCTATGGTCACAAGTTTGGTCAGGTTCACAATGTTCTTTGTTCTTTCTCCTTTATGGGAAACTTCAAATCATCTATGTACCTGAATATCATTAGGACACTGCCTTAAATTGTTCTACAATCTTAGTTTTGATAAAGCAAAATTTATCTCATTATGAGTCACTTCTATTCTATATTCTGATTAGATGCTTTTTGAGATGTCTTCACCTCATCTTCATATTGGTTCAAATCAAATACTGGAAAATTTTCAAATATGAAATTTTTTTATAAAACTATTTAAAGTACATATAATATGTTTGGTCAAACACGATTGAACAGGATATATGACAAATAAATTAACTTATTTTCTTCTGAGTGACCATTATGGTTTTATTTACATTAATTGGTCTGGAAGCCAAGATCAGACAGATCCTGGTAGCATAAGTGGCAATGTTTCTGCACAGTTAGCATGAGTTGTAGATTTGAGGTCTGCTCCGAGCTGTTCTTTTCTTCCAAAATACTGTAAATTGAATTTGATAAATAATTTTTATCTTGATCAAATTAAACATGTTTTCATTAACGATAAATGTTTAGATACTATATAAGTAAGACCTGTCAGCAACTGAACAGTAGATTGAATGATTATAAGAGATATCAAAAAAGATTTTGCCATTTTATGATGGCCTTAGACCAAACTGTTAGAAAGGAAGAAATTCAAATATACTGGATCAAGCATTTGTGGTCATACTAACTTGAGTTTCCTATTGCTAAAAACCACAGAAAAAATAGTAATAACTTTAAATAATGATAAAGTGATAAATGTCAAAAACAGTAACAGTCTCAATCTTTGGATATGGATACTATCAAAGGAGCAGGCAAGAACACATTATACTAAAGCAGACCTGTCTAAGGTTCTGTTTCTACATGTGGAAATTGATGTTAGTTGACTGGAGCAATTTTTTAGATTTGGGATTACATAGTAAATGTTCTTACAGTTTAAAATTCATTTTTGAATATTTACTTTAGAACATTATTTCTGTATAATGGATCTGAAATGTAAACAAGTTCAAAAAATTTTTATTTTCAAGTTAGTTTCTCTGGCTTTTTGTTTAGTGCATCTCTTTACACAAAACTTAATTACTTCTCTTAACTAGATAACAACAGCTCCCAAATCACCACAAAAAAAAAAAAAAAACTTAAGTCCAGTATGAAACTTAATATAATTTTGAAAATATTTCTGACAAATGTTTTCGATGACAACTAGATCTTCTTCAGGTAAATCAATATTCTAAAATCAGAATGAATTGAAAAACAGAATATAAATTTAAAACATTATTACTGGTACAGTACATAACATTTTAACAGATGAAATATAAAATATGTATAAAACTTTTTTGTTTGTATAATATTTTAGTTTAATTTTTTGTATATATTAATTAGTATGAAGTATGTTGTTATTTAATTTTGATCCAAACAATCAAAATAAAATAATAAATATGCTTTGTCATTAATTTCCAAAATTTCTTAAAAAATAATCAATAAAATATTTCATTTTACAGATTTATTCTACTTTTGCATTTTAAAAGTCATTAAAAAAATTATTAATAGCTTCTCTATCAGAGTTATCAAATTATTAGTGTAAAGTCTATATAGATAAGTTTCAATATTGTTTAAGAATTACTTTGAACTTACTGAACAGAATGATAAATTATTAATCACTCAATTTAATAACTATTAATACTAATAATACATTAAATAGTATTAAATGAGTGATAATTTCAGTACATTTAAGAATAATGAAACAAATGTCCTGAAATAGGAAAAAAAATTAGTTTTTGTATAAAAAAGAAGACAAATTTAGATATTTGTCAGTCTCTACTTGGTTAATATATAACCTTGTATATATACAGGATTTTATAAGTCATGCATCACAGGAGATTGTGCAAAGAAGCTTCAGGTAACTGTAGGAAAAGAAACTAGGGCAAGTGTTTAGTGTATTGGTTATATGCTGCTTCNTCAGTACATTTAAGAATAATGAAACAAATGTCCTGAAATAGGAAAAAAAATTAGTTTTTGTATAAAAAAGAAGACAAATTTAGATATTTGTCAGTTTCTACTTGGTTAATATATAACCTTGTATATATACAGGATTTTATGAGTCATGCATCACAGGAGATTGTGCAAAGAAACTTCAGGTAACTGTAGGAAAAGAAACTAGGGCAAGTGTTTAGTGTATTGGTTATATGCTGCTTCATTTCAGGTCTGCAATATAAATTAAATTAAAATCCAATAATGAATTAAATGTAAATATGAGATGTATGGTACATACAATAAAGGTGTTTGAATACTACTTTATCTTTACAATTTATAAATAGTGAAGATAAGATAATTAATTAGTATTGTATATTATATAACACTTTCATAAGTAAAAGAATGACAGTAAGGAAAATCAGTCTGATATTTTTCTTATTGAATTTATTAAATTTATAAGCTGGAACTATTCTATAATAGAGAAAATCCACACATTTCTCACACTTTCCAGCAGTAACTGCCTAATAACTGTTTAATTTCTTGTACTGTTCTTTTACATTTTTTGTTATTAAAGCACTTAAGGTTTCATTTAAGTATTTTATTACTGCTAAAAACATACAAACATCAAAATA